GACAACCAATCCATCAGAAGGCCAGCAGATTCTAATATGGTGTGTTAGGAGGATGTGAGTGTGTCTATAGTTACAGATGGTGCAGATTCTTTTTTGGAATTGTATATGCTGCTATTTTTATGATTTTACTGGTAGTTTTAATAAAACAATCGAAAGATGGAAGCTCTTGTATGTGGTGTTGGCCTACAATTTCTTGTTTTCCTAGGTTCTCCAGATGTAGAACTAACAGTTCTGTTTAACTTAAGAGGGTCACTGTCAGAGCAGAACCCAGGAAAGTATACCCTTACAAAATAAAGTATAAGGCTATACCTTAAAGAGGAGTTTTTCTTTTCCTAGGTTAAGATGCTTCCCTATGAATGTTACACTTTGGTTCTGTGATGTGATGGGAGCCTCAAGGGTTAAAGCTGACTACCCAGTGAAAACTACTGGATGATGGTGAAACAAATTATTTTTATTAAGTGGAATGATTTTTTTTTAAATTAAAACTAACAATTAGCAAATGGGGTTTTTTTAAACTAGCAATTGCCCAATGCTTTTACAGGGTAGAAAACCCTAAACTTAGCTGTACTTAACTAATTACAAACTTCTTTGGTTACAATTAACTATACCAAATCACTGTCTCTGATTTGCTTAACAAAAAATACAAAAACACAGACAATATAATGATAATAAAAACTTTGTCCAAAGCCAGCCCCTCTATGGTTATTTTAGGGCAGCTGGTGGAGTTAGTCATAAATCTACTTTTACAACTTAACAACTCCTGGGCTTCTATTTCTAACACTTATACTTAGTCTAAATACAACACTACTATACAACACAAGATTATACAATTTATACAATGTGGTTGACAGAACTTAGATACATTTTACAGAATTACACAGTGAAATTAACACAATTTAACTATTAAACCAATAACTAATACATTTAAGCAATACTTACTTAAACCAATAACTAATACATTTAAGCAATACTTACAAATTCAGAAACAATAACAACAGAAAGACACACTAGAACTCGGAGCATGCTCAGGACTCGTGCACCCCTATATTTGATTCGAAGGGGGGGGAGGCAGCCTCAGGGGGATCAATCCTTTAGCCGGGCAAAAAAAAGACACGTGCCCTCAATACACGGAACCTCCGTCGAACAAAGGGGTAGAGAGGGTCTTTTATACAAAAATTCGGTGTCTGATGCCATGCTAGGGTCTGCATTTGGCAGGGCCTGATAGGCTAATGATGAGGTAGTATGACAATACTGCCCTATAGGAATTTTCGTGATGTATGTGTGATCCCCTCGTGGACAGGACCAGATGGGGCATAGTTAGCGTGAGACAACTGTGTTTTATTACCCTATGTTTACTTTTTCCCCTTGCCCCTAAGACCGGTCAAGCTACGGTCAAATGAGGCTTATCTGTAAATTCAGCTAGGCGTTATCTAGTTATGCTTACCTCCCTATTTTCTTGGTGCCTTTGAGTTCCAGGATGCCTATAAGGTCTAATTCCATTCACAAAAACTGCATTGTGCTTCCCATGCTCTGAGTATCAGGGTTTTGTGTGAGGGGCCGTGTGTGGCAGGATGGGCTATACGCGAAGGCCGTGGACAGAAAAAGCCTGCTTTACAACAATGAAAAAGTCTGTTAAGGATATGTTCAAAAATCATTTTTAAAAAAGGCCTGTTTACACAGTTTGTATGTTACGTTTGTCTTGCATGTTTACATTTTTTATTCATAGACCTGAAGACTTAGAGAAAACATTGGCATTTTCAAACTTAATTTCAAAGCATTGTACATAGCTTGTGTTGTAATAACACATGCAGACTTGTGAAATTGCCTTCTGCTTCTGACCAGAATATTGGAGTTTAATGAAGTCTGACAACCTAGAAAAGGAAATTGACAACAAGGCAAGATTTCCTTCTTGTGATCCTTGGATACCTCACAAGGTTCAAGGCTAAAACTACGTAGCATAAGGACAGTGATCTCTGTATTGAGCAAGGCGGTGGGGGGAGGCCATGTCGGTGCCCTGAATTGAGGTTGCTCCTCAGTTCCCTGCCCCCTTTGGCTGCTCAGGCACCTGTCAGAATTGCCTGGGCAGGGGGACCCAGCTCCTAGGTAGCAGAGACCACAGGATGAGAGGCCCTCCTGGTGCACAGGGCCTAGTCACCCTTCTCTCTGCACCTTGAGTTACCCCCTGCCTCTGACTACCCCATCCTTGACCTCT